AGAGTTCGGTTCTAATTTTGATTATTGGATATTGTGAATATAGATCTACTCGAGGAGACACGCTTCGATCTGTGAGCTCATTTATGGTGTTTCAGATTTCTAGTTCTGTTTTGGACTATGAGTGATAATACTTACTCTATACATGTTTATTTTATTTTGGTTATGAAAAAAATTGATGTGATATGATTTTTTGATTTTGAAAAGATAAAATTAGGACACGTATTCGTTTATTTTTAAATTATAGTGAGTTATTTAAAAATAAATGTTTAATTAAAATTCATGCCTCTATTATAATTATTTTCTGAAAATTTATGTCAGGAGTTATTCTAATTCTGGTTCTGATTTTAATTGTGATTTTGGTTCTGATATGGGATCCCTATATGTTTTGATGTGATATGTGATATGTAAATCCTCTGACATGATACGCTCTGTCGTGAGTTGATATTCTAATTCGAGTTTCGATTCTGATGTGATATGTGATATGTGAATCCTTTGACATAATACACTTTGTCATGAGTTGATATTCTGATTCTGACTCCGATTCAGATGTGATATGTAATTCTGCCGACATGATACGCTCTGTTGTAAGATGTGATTTTTGATATAAGAAGATACTCTCACATGTCTTAATCAATAAATTGTGCTTTGAGAGCATAAGGCATATATTTTATGACTTATCTGATAATTTGACTAAGTTACTGTATACTTATACGTATGATTTTGGCACGCTTTACGATACTTATCCTAGCTTGACTAGAGTTTGTAATATCATTCACTGGATTCCGCGACTCATCTTTTTATATATTTCATATCGTAACGAGGGTTCACATTTCTAACCAAGTTGTCCATTCCCTGCCAAATCGAAGTTGATGTACGACTTGACGTTCTATTTGTTTTGTAATTGTATTTTAAAGTTACTCCAGTTATTTTTCAGACAGGATTGTTATTTATTTAAAATATTATACTATTTAGTTTTTTTAGATTTATATTCTATTTTGGATTAAAAGCTTACTAGAGTTAGAGTGCCAGTCTTAGTGCCAGTCACATGCCCGGGTTTGGGGTGTGACATAACTGATTATTTTTTATAGAATAATTTTTATTAACGTGATTCAACACTATATAAATGTATTTATGATATAATGTGTGATTATTATGATTAATAGTAAATAATAAATTTGTTTAACTAAATAAGATTAAAAAATTTTGAATGTTAAGTTTTTAAAGAAAATTCAATAAAATTTTTTATAAAAATATTAATTTAATTTATTTATAAATTATAAATTATGATTCGAATAAAACCAAATCTCATTGAACCACGGACACCCTAATTGTTACCTTTATTGAATAGTATATTTCACCGTCCCCTACTTGCTGGTTGCACTCACCACTTTAACAAAAAGAAAAGAGGAAATTCCTTTTACATAATTGATGCTTTTTAAAGTGGAAATTGCTTTGGATGATTTGATGTTTTTGGTTCTCACCTTATTGTCTTCTAGCCAAGGCAAGTGGCCAAGGAATCATGTTGTCTTGCCCGGGAATTATTTTTATATCCTGGGTTGGCCCTTAATTTATGTATTTCTCCTTATTTTGAAATTATCATCTTAGTCAAGGGTCATGGATTTAATATCAAATATGGTGAAAAAGAAATATTAACTTATAAGAAAAAAATATTACATATATTTGTAAGTGTATCTTTTAAAAAGAGAGTAATAAACATATAACAAGTGATATTAGAACCTACTCTAAAGCATTAATTCGATACTTTTATAATTTACATGTAAGCATTTCTGTTACCCCGTAAAGATAGGTAGAGTAGCGATGAATCATAGACCCCATCTTAATAAAGGTATCCAAGATTCGGATAAGAGAGAGTGTTATAGATTCTGTATTAAATAGAGTGAAAGAGAGATTGAATTATAAAAAAAGGCCTGACGCGTTATAATAAAAATATTTTTTAAATAGAAAATAATAATCTTGTGACACTTAAAAAGATGTAAAAGTACTGTGTTAAAATTTTAAAGAACACAATAATTTTCTACTTTAATTTTGAATTTTCTGTTTTCTTTCTGGTTTATTAAGTGTGTCTTTATCAAACCTACTTAGAACTTAACATGATAATTTTTGTGCAATTTTCAGTGGTTACCTCAGAGTAGTCCTTAACTGTTTTATTTTCCTTACAAATATGTAATTGTTTGTTTATTTATTATATTTATTTTTCATTTCAATAGAAACTCATTAATTTAATCAATTTATATCTTAATCACAAGGTGTCTGAGGCTTTCCATTTGATATTTAATTTAATTTAATTTAAGAAAAGGGAAACTTTGTTTTGACTAGTTTTTTTTTTTTTTTAATGTAGAAGGATTAGAAACAAATTTTATCCACTCTCGTTTAGGAATAGTAGTAAACAAATTAGAAACCCTAACTCTTCTTCTTCCTAAAACTTTAAAACCCTAACCCAGGGCAGCAAAAAATTTCATAAAAGATCACTTTTAATATTTTCATCCAAGCAAGATATAAAATACAAAATAACTTTTGAGAAATTACTTCGGCAAAAAATTATTTTTATGAATCACAATTTCAAAATTACTTTTAAAAAAGTTTATTCAATCGCACCCGTTGTTTAACAATGGACTACTGTCTATTATTGCTTGCTCGCTTTATGACTTTAAGCATCATTAAAATCCATGGGAAGGAAATTGCTAAAATGTGAGGTTTCTCTCTCTCTCTCTCTCTCTCTCTCTCAATTTGATTTTATTTTTTAATTAATTTTTAAATTTTAGTTAAAACTAATTTAAGCAACTTAATTAATTTTTTTAACTAATTAATTAATTTAATTTAATTAATTTTTCAATTAATTAAAAATGTTAATTAAAACTATTTTAATGCTGCTAATAAGACTACAAATCAAATCACTAATTTAAGACTACCTGATCTTGATTTATAAAGTTTATAAAATACTTTGATAAAATATCACCCTATATAAATCTAGTCTTGTGATATGCTGAATGAAAGAATTTATTTTGGATAAAATGCCTTAAAATATTAAAAATCATGAGAGATTCATACAATAATTTATATATTTTAAGAATTTTTAATTCTCTTTTTGTTGAAAAAAATTCAAATTTGCATCGATATAAATATATGTGGATATAAATTAAAAATGGTACTAGATTTTTTTATTCTTTTTTTTATTTCTTTATTTTATTACGTTTTCCTACTTTAACAAAAAGAGCGAGTGGGAATTGGTTTTACACACTGACGGAGGTATGCATATCTGGAGTGGGGGAGAGTCGCCCTCAAGCCAAAAATAAAAAATAAAAAAAAATATTAGTATAATACAATTATGGTATAAAATAAATTTTTGCACCCCTCCCCTAAAAAAAATAATTTTAATCCTTGAATATGTGTGTATATATTAAAAGACTTAAATGAAAAAATGAGAAATTTATAGATAAAATAGAACAAAATTCAGAGTTAGGAGGTTCAATCAAGAATTTAAAATTAAAAAAATAATAATGACAGATTGTTTAAAATAATGATTTTTACAGAGACTAAAACATAAAATAAGTAAATCAAAATAATAACAAAGTTTGAAAACTTCATTTCCGTGCTTCAATTTACTATAGATTTGTTTCCTAATTTGTTGAACAGGCAATTATCTATTTTACTGGTTGCCTATTTTATACTTGTTCGGTTTGCAATTTGTTCTATTTTCAATTTTTATCTCAGTAATTCTATAAATTTGAAGATATTTCCAACAACTTCTTCAATTCTACTTTTTACCTTGTCACTATTCTGAGGGGTTAATTGTTTATAATTTTTTTAATGTTTAGATTCTTTTGTGATATTATAAAAATTTAATTTACATTATTTTTGTTATTTCTTATAAAAATTTAAAAATCCATTTTTTGTAAAAATTAAAATACAATGTATAACTATAATTTATTAGTTTAAAGTTTTTATATACTTAATTTTTATAATCATGCTTCCCTATGACTGAATCCTAGCTAGTGAATGCTTTTACATGATTCTTTATGGTGGAAATTTCTTTGGATGATTGATGCTTTTGGTTCTCATTCGAGCCCAAGGGATCCCCTTTAAATCTTGGGGTAGACCCTTACTTTGCCTTTCTTATTACATTTTTCTTGCTACTTGAGACCCACCATTCCAAGATTTTCTTAGAAAATATATAAAAAACGCTATACCAACTTCTTTTCTTTCCGCGTGAGACCCACCATTCCAGAAGTCTAACATCAGTTCGCCAAAGAAAGCACATAGAAAAAGCTATATTAACTTTTTCAAAAGCAAAATAATTTCTTACTTTGATTCTGATTTTTCTGTTTTCTTTCTAGTTTGCTTTGCTATAAACTTAAAATGTCAATTTTTGTGCAATTTTATTTTTCTTACAAATACGAAATTTTTAGTTATCAATAAAAAGTCATTAATTAAATTAATTTTTAACAATTTATATTTAAATCAGAAAGCATCTGCGCCTTCCATTTGGTGTTTTATTTAATCTAACAAAAGAAAAATTACATTTTGACTACTTTTTTTTTGGTAGAAAGATTAGAAACAAATTTACCCGCTCTCATTTAGGAATATTAATGAAGATCCAACGGTAATCAAATTATCACTTGAACTAAAAGTTCCTTTCTGAACCAATAATTTGTCTTGATATTCATGTTTGTAAAATATTTTAAGGACATTTTGGAAACAAAAATGGTCAACCCTCACAACCACTTCTATCATTTAATACTTAATGCTCATGACAAAAAACAATTATTAACCAAATCATTTTTTTTAAATTCGATTTAAAAATAGATAACTGCTCTGTGTTGGTACGTGTCATTCATTTAAGACTTTATTCTTTTCTGTCTATTTCTTTAACATGTTCCAACTTTGATTACATTGTAGACTTCTCATAGTTTGATACTACTACAGCAAGCATTTTGCCTTAACAAACTTACGCTTGCTCTGCTTCCGGGATTTTTGAAAGAATGGCTATATTTGAAATCTTTCTTTCTGCATTCTTCTCTACGTTGTTTAAGAAGATGGCTTCTAGAGAGTTGTGGGACTTTGTCTGCCAAGAGGGTATTGAGGATCAATTCGAACAATGGAAGAAAACGCTATCAAAAATTCAGGCAGTACTTGCTGATGCTGAGAAAAAACAAATAGTATCAAAAGTTGTGACTTCGTGGCTGGAAGATCTCCAGGATTTGGCCTATGATTTGGATGACCTGGTGGACGACTTCGCTACTGAAGTTCTGAAACGCAAGCTGATGGCAGGGACTCAAGCTAGCACTAGCAAGGCATGGAACTTCATCCCTACTTGTTGTACTAATTATGAGCCAAGTACTGTCCTATTTAATGCTCAAATGAAGTCCAAGATAGATGCAATCACTAGCAGATTAAATAACAGCTTCAACCAAAGCTCGGGACTTAATTTGGAGACGATTGTGGAAACAACCTCTGTTCAAGGTGCTTGGCGAAGACCCGAGACTACATCATTGTTGAATGAGCCTCAAATTTATGGCAGGGAACAAGAAAAGAAACGGATAATTGAGTTGCTTCTCGAAGACAACCCAAGTCAGAGCAAATTTGGTGTAATTCCCCTGGTAGGCATGGGTGGAGTCGGCAAGACCACCTTGGCTCAATTAGTGTTCAACGATGAAAAAGTGAAGGAACATTTTGATATGAAAGCCTGGGTTTGTGTATCAGATGAGTTTGACATCATGAGAATCACAAAGGTAATTCTTACATCACGTGATAATAATATTGTTTTTATACCCATGTGATAACGTAGCTAACAGAATATGAGCGAAACATGGTTTTTGAAAACAAAATTTATTGAACATAGCATAATTGTTAATTAATTTAGAATAAAATTCAAATGAGCAATACAATTGGATATTTATGTGAGGTAGAACTAAGCCTTAATTTGGTAGGATTAGGATTGAGCTTGTTCAATAAGAGTCGTGGGTTAAGCAGATTTTAATGGTGATTTTGGAACAATTTTGATTTGATTTTGTGCTTCTATTCTTCATTTTTGAAAAATGAAAAATGGCATAATGAAGAGTTTCTTGGGACACCCCATGATGTTCTTGCCTCCATTATGGCTTATGATCCCATGACTTTTGAGAGTCAATGGAGAAAGAGGGTGAATATTATTAGCGTGAATTACAATTTCTTAGGCAAAGAAATGATGGTAAATCTTATTACCTCTTTAAACTAGTTATATTAAGAAATAATAATTTAGATTTGGGCCTCTATCTTTTTTAGAATTAGAATTTTTGTCAAGTAAAATTAAAATTTATAAATTTACAAAAACGTTCATCAACATAAGAATTAAAAAATACGAGATGAAAAGAATGTCCCGTAATTGAGTTCTGTAAGAATTAGTAGTCATAATTATACAATTTAATAAGAATTATAATTCAATGAAATATTTATTAATATGTATGACTATTTTGACTTAATTGTATAATTGATTGTTTTTCTAATATTGTTTTACAAGGTAATTCTGGAGTCAGTGACTTCCCGAAAGTGTGAGTTTACCAGCTTGGATAAAGTTCAAGAACAATTAATAAATTCTTTCAAGGGGAAGAAGTTCTTAATTGTTCTAGATGATATCTGGAATAAAAATCTTGGCAATTGGATGGCTTTGAAAAGCCCATTTAACCATGGTGCCCAAGGGAGTAAAGTCCTGGTGACAACCCGCAACAAGGACATCGCTATGATGATGGGGACAGTTAAAGATCTAGGGGTTGGCCTCCTATCTGATGCAGATTGCTGGTCATTACTTGAGCAACATGCCTTTGGTAATAGAAGTATGGATGCAAATCCAAAGTTGGAATCAATCGGTAGGGAAATTGCCAAGAAATGTGGAGGTTTGCCTTTAGCTGCTAGGACGATAGGTGGTCTTTTACGGTGCAAAGAGAGGGAGGATGAATGGGAAGTAGTATTACATAGTAATATCTGGAATTTATCCAAAGATGAAAATGACATTGTCCCGGCTTTGAGATTAAGCTTCCATTATCTCCCTCCGCATTTAAAGCAATGCTTTGCATATTGTGCAATATTACCTAAGGACTATGAATTTGAGGAGAATGAGCTAATCTTGTTGTGGATGGCAGAAGGTTTCATTCAGCAAGAAACAGGACAACAAATGGAAGAAGTAGGAGCAGGGCACTTTCAAGAACTTGTGTTTAGGTCCTTTTTCCTACCATCTAATAGTACAATTTTAAAATTTGTAATGCATGACCTCATCAATGATTTGGCTTATGAAGTTGGAAAAAATTCATGTTTCAGACTAGAGGACGTCCTAAGGAATGGGGAGCAGCATGGAAGTCTAATGAAGGCTCGGCATGCATCATATATGCAAGGTTATAAAGATGGGATGGATAAATTTGAGACCTTCCACAAAGCCAAGAATTTGAGGACGTTCTTACCCTTTTCCTTGAAGAATGGTACTTGTTATTTGACAAGGAGTGTTACCTTTGATCTATTGCCAAAGCTAAGCTACTTGAGGGAGTTGAGTTTGAGAAACTATGCAGTTGAAGAAATTCCAAGTTCAATTGGCAATTTGAAACATCTACGGTATATCGATCTTTCTTACAGCTGTATTAAAAGCTTACCAGACTCATTTGGTAACCTTTACAATTTGCAAACTCTAAATTTACAAGGATGTAGTTGTCTCATGAAAATTTCCTTTGACATGGGGAACCTAGCCAACCTACGCCATCTTTATTTTCCTCCTCTAGAAGAAATGCCACTAGGAATTGGTAAGCTAACAAGCTTGCAGATATTGTCTTCCTTCTTCATTAGGAAAGGAAATGGGTCTCGAATAAAGGAGCTTGGAGACTTGAATCATCTTCGAGGGACAGTTTGCATTTTTGGATTAGAAAACATAGTTGATGTTGAAGATGCACGGAATGCCAAATTGAAAAACAAGCTAAAATTAAGCAAGTTATCAATGTTATGGAATAAGACTTCAAGTGAATTACGAGATCAAGGTGTAGGAGCAGAGATGTTTGATGCTTTACGACCTCCCAATAATTTAAGAGAGTTGGATGTAGAAGGCTATCATGGTATAAGGTTTCCGTGTTGGATGGGAGATCCTGAATTCTCAAGATTGGTGACCGTAAGTTTGGTAAGTTGTTGTAATTGCACATCCTTGCCACAATTGGGACAACTACCATCGCTTAAGAAGGTTTATATTAGAGGAATGACAACAGTACGATGTGTTGGGCATGAATTTTATGGGCAGGGCTTTTCCAAGCTGCAAGAACTAAGCTTCGTGGATATGCTGGAATGGGAAGATTGGCAAACAACTGAAGCTGTCAAGAAAGTTCAGCCCTTTTCTCATGTCAGTAAGCTTTTTATTAAAAATTGTCCCAATCTATTGAGAAATTTGCCGGCCGATCTCCCCTATTTAGAAACTCTTATAATTAAGAATTGCCCTAAGTTGCAAGTTGAAGTCTCAAAGCTCAATTACCCATCGCTCGCCTCCGTATCTATGAAAGAAGTTCCATTTCCAATCCTTTCTATTGATGAGATGGGAAAAGATCTAGGACACTCTTCCCTTGCCTCTCTAGATATTGGAGGCTTTCCAATTCCTAACTATTTTTCTAATCCAGGCAGAGATGACGAAATAATGTTGGAAAATACAGTGTTTAAGCATTTGAGTGTAGGAAATAATTTGGAAATTGAGAATGTTGAAAAACTTGTTTTCTTGCCCAAATGGTTTACTCAAGTGCTGACCAAACTTGAAAAATTAAGTATAAGAAATTGTGATGAACTTCTAACGCTGTGGAATAATGACGGGGTGCTACACCATTCTCTTCTAGGTCTTAGGCATTTGGAGATTAAATCATGCTGACAGCTTGTTTCCTTGTTTGAAAGAAAAGAATATGAAAATGACGGGCAAGAGCAGCAACAGCTTGAAGTGTTGCCTAGGCTTGAGTTGCTGTCAATAGAGACATGTGACAAGTTAGATAAATTGCCGCAGGGATTGCAGAATTTCATGTCTCTTAGAGATCTAATTATACATGGATGTTACAATCTGGTGAATTTTCCAGAACATGGTTTTCCTTGTACGTTGAGAAGACTCAAAATTAAACAATGTGATGCTTTGCGGTGGTTGCCTATATGGAATGTGCAAGACAGTAATCTTGAGGAGTTAGTTGTTGAATTTTGTGTATCGCTTGAGTACTTAATACCATCAAGTGGTGGGTTACCATTGACATTAAAACATCTTTCCATTTGGAATTGTGAAAAGATGTTTGCGTTGCTAGAAGAGGAGGAAGGACTAGTCAACTTGCCGTGCATTGAATCTTTTAAAATTTCCACTTGTATGAGCTTAAAATTCTTGCCAGATGCCAACTTGCACAATAGTGGTAGTAATAATCTCAACAGGCTGACTGAATTATATATATCCAATTGTGGAAATTTGGAGCACATTTCCCAAGCGTGGTTCACCCTTCCAACCAATCTTACAAATTTGGAGATTAGTGATTGCGAGAAACTACTACAGAAGGATCTCTTCTCAAATATGAGCCTCACTTGTCTTAAATTGCTCCGTATTGAAGGAGGATTTGAAGTCTCGTGTTTGAGGAAGAAAGTGAATTCATTTTCCAACCTCACCGAGCTACATATGGGAATGATGACTACATGGATGCCACCATCAGAGTGGGGTCTAGATAGACTCTCCTCTCTTGAAGTTCTCGATCTTTATGGGCCTATTGTCATTGTAGAGTCAGAATCGAAACATATGGAGGTAGATAAGAAGTGGTCTAGCTTTCCATTCCATGGCATGTTGTTGCCCGCTTCTCTAACCAACTTGGATATCGGTAATTTCAAAAATCTGAAGGCTTTATCTCCACAGTTTCAGCACCTCACTTCTCTTAAAGAACTTTGGATCGCAAACTGCCCCATGCTTGCAAACTTTCCAAATCAAGGGTTCCCTCGCTCCTTATTGTCACTTTCGATCTATGGTTCTCCAAAATTAAAAGAGATGTGCCAAAAATGGGAAGGCAAATATTGGTCCTTAATCGAACACATTCCTTGCGTTTGTATAAGATAAGCAAATTGGAATGCATCGTCACTCACAGTTCTCAAGTGATTCAGGTAAAAGGATCTTAGTTACAATCATTGCTTTTCTGTGAATTTTGAATTTTGAATTTTTTTATATAATTCAATTTTTGGGTTAAATTTAGGGAAAGTTCTAGTGATCTTGGGCTTTTCAATTGATATTTTGCAAACTTTTAATTATTTTTAAGGGATTTTTCTAAGGTCTATACTTCTTTTACTAAGCCTTTTCTTCTTTAAAAAAAAAAAAATGAATTAACAGTACATATCAATTAAAATCAAACAACTAGCATTAAAATACCCGTAACAGACATGCCTTTGTGTTGTTGATTTTATGGCTCTGTTCTAATGGTTTGAGCAGTAAAGTTGTGAGGACCTTCTATTTTTCAAGAAATAATAACTTAGTCCTCTATCTAATAAAAATATAATAAAAAGATGGAAACATTTTCTGGATATGTTACTTAGTCTTTATTTCATTGTTGTTACTAATAAAATCACTTTTAAATTTTGCATTCTGAAACATACATGTTTTGTAGTAGAGATGTCTTCTCTACTGGATCAAATAAGGCTTTGAAAGGTGCAAGAAGTCACTGACCACATCAAGTGGTGGTATTTTCATTTGATCTTTCATTTGTCCTAATTTCCTCAAGTTCCAAGTAATTTTAATTTATATTTCTGATTCATAATGTAAAATTAATTATTTATTTGTCCTCATCTATTATCCAAAAAACAAAAAATCAGTTCTGAACTCAACAAATACTTGTCTGTAGTATTTGATGTTATTAAAAATTTCAGTTGATTTAAGTTTTTTATTGTGATCAAACTATTCATTGGGTGTTTGTATTATTTTTATATAATAAGATGTCACATCTAATCAGAAAATTCTACATGTTTCATTCCATCATTGTCTCCTAGGGGCCAGGCATGGAGACAGAGTTCAAGGTGGAAGTTGAAGCAAGTGGAAAAGTAAGAGATAAGAACCTGGTGGATCTGACTGGGTATTGAGCAGAAGGCACTAGAAGGTAGTTTTCATAATCAAATTAGTTTCCAAACTGTATTGCACAGTATAATTATTAGCTTTAAATTTAAAATACATCCAAGTGGAACCCCATTTCTTGCCACTACTAATCATGGAAGTTGGATGTTCCAAGAAATTTAAAATGGTTCTGTTGCTTCAATATTGTATCTGAAATTAAGTTGTTGACTCTAATCGTCATCGTGAAAAAGGGCAGAGTTTGGAACCTAATTCTAACACTCATGGCATAAAGCTCCCCCGCCAATTCTCTCATTCCTAGGATGTTGGTGTTTTGCCAATTTTTACATCTTTTTGGATAGGGGTGTTGGGAAAGTTGCACTATAGTAGTTCTACTTGTAAGGAGATTACCAACTGCACCATTACTTATTTAAATTATGGTTTCACATTTTTTCGTTTTATTCTTTTATATATATTTTGCACCAGAGTTCTTTTCTATAGTTTTGTATTCTTATTTATCTACTTCTCTTGCCTAACCAGTTATATATCTCTTTTCTGCAGAGGAAGTATGTTTTATCTTGTTCTTTTTGCCTGAGCTATGTCTCTTCATCATGTGACAGAATAGCATATTTGCATGAAGAATCAGAACCAAAAGTGGTGCATTGTGATGTAAAATCAAGTTACCATGTTCAAGATTGAAAACGGGATGCATAAGTCTCAAGTTTTGGACTGGCCAAACTCTCGGGACCTGAGAAAAGCTGTGACTACCAAAGTGATGGGAACATTCAAGTTTGTTTTTTTCTTCTCTTATGTAATTAATCAATTAAGCTATCAGAAGTAAAATGTGAATAAAAATGTCTTTGTGCTGTATAATATTGCTACTAAATCTTGCATTGCAGCTGCAGATATGTATCTCTTGTCCTAAGCATGCAAGTACAGGGATGCTCAACAAGGGCACTGACGTATATAGCTTTGGAGTTCTGCTTATAGAACTAATTACAGGAAGGTGCTTAGTAGATTATTCGAGGCCACCTGGAGAGGTGAAAATAAGTCTTGTTTCTATGATTCCAATTCCTCTTCCTTCTGGTTGTTGATTATAATACCTTTCTTGTTATCTGTTTCTAGATGAGCTTCAAATGAACTTGATTAATTGGTTGAAAGGAATGGTAGCAAGTTGGTAAGGGGAAGAATTGGTGGACCCCCTGATTCAAGTGCAGCCGCTCATAGAGCTTTGAAAATGGTATTGTTAGTTTGCCTCCACTACATAAATTTGGATACCAATAAATGACCAAAAATGGAGCAAATTGTGCATATGCTGGACGCAGATGAGTTTCTTTTCCCAACTGTAAGCCGTCCCTTTTCGTGTGTGTGGATGAAATTGATTAGTAGAGTTCTAAATGCAAGTCACTGCTTGGCAATGTCTTGTTGGGCGTGAAAATGTCTCTGTTACATGCATCATAGGGCCTGGTGGTCTTATTGGATAAGAAGAGGATGGCACAATACACTAAACTTCCTTGCACTGTGGGAAGTGATGCACGCTAGATGTGCTAGAGTGTGACATGATAAAGACTACATTTGTGAGCTGCAAGTTTCATATTTAGTCAAAACACTACATTTAAATGACTACGTCTTGTTTTTATGATAATTTCCTCTGTTATTTATCATATTACCTCTTCTACCAATTTTAAATTATAAAACTTCTTGTAATGGTTTTAGCAAAGTGGATATGAGAATCCAAATCCTTAAGAATGTTTAAGAAAGGCTCCACAAATCATGTTTGACATGTATCAGACGGGATAAACTTGACAAGTACCTCCTTCTCAATTCTTATTTAGTTTTTTCCTTAATCTATAGATAGATTACACACGTCAAAAATTGAAAACTTGTAGGACATAAAGTTGGCCAATTATAATTTTTATAAAGCTTTTTCAGTGAGGGCAATCTTGTAAAATTACCAAATTCCTGTTTCCGTATCCATCTCGAAGGGACTTAGTTTGCCTAATTTGAAATATTGAGTTGGATAAGAGTGAATTGGCATTCTTAAAAATTTAGGAATTTTTTTTTATTTTTTATTTTTTTTATTTTTATGTTTTTAGGTTTTATGTCTTATTTTGTACACTAATTTGTCATGGTTCAAGATGCAATTATCATTAGTGTGTTCTGGCCAACATGAGCATTCTGTGCTTTCTATTTTACTAATAATCTATTGAAGAAATTCTAGTTGATTAAATTTGTGCCCTAATCCTTCAATTTCTAAGTCTGCTAAGCAAATATTTGAATCAATTACAATCAAGTCACTTATTCTAATATTCTATTAAAACTCCTACATTGACTACTCCTGCCATATGTATTTTTTAATTTTTCTTCTTAATTTATCTTAGTTTAATTTAATTATTTAGTTTTTTGGAGATAAGTTACATGTAGATTAAATCAAAGATGGAATATTGTTTTGAGTTTATACTTGCACCATTTAATCTATATGGAGATGGATGAAAAGATTGTCCCTTTTTAAGCTTAAACCTACAACTTCAATCTAGTGGACTATATAAATGACTAGTAATCATATTCTACTAGTTTGGATATCAACAAATTTAGATCCTTGATCATTAATAGAATTTCTTAAGCAACAAAATTATGAAAAATTGGAAATATATTTTGTTGTGAAATATTTTAGAACTTCATTTCTTTCTTTTTCTTCTTTTTTTTTTCCTAAGACGAAAAAGGGTAGTTGTATGCGTTGAAACTTCAAATTAAATATCAGTTTGGCAAAAATCACCTTCACTGTTCAAGTGTATCCCACAAGCACAAACCTATCCTATTTGATTTTTTTTAAAAATGTTCTCAAAACTAGGGGAAATAACACTTACATCGGAATTATGTTTGAGTGATTAAAAATAAAAATAGAATCTTGTTTAGTAATTAAAGAATAATTTTGTTCTGCAGACAAATTTCGAGAGGTTTTGAAACCTGATATTCAAAAATGGAGGACATTTGAGAAATTATATATTTCTTCTTGCAAGGTTATAAAAACAAATGACAATGAAAGTAATGGATATGGCACATATTAGTAAGTTATGGTCCTTTAATTCTCCATTTTGACAATACGTGAATACTAGTTACAAGTGGTTATTTTTAACTTCTACAAGCTGATGGTAACAAAGGTTGAATTGTTGTTTTCTCTTTCTTTATTTGTAAAATGCATAGCTAATCTAGTCAAATAGAGTTGCTAGCAGCGAGTGCAGTAGGTAGGAAACCATTTATAAAGGGATATAATGATTTTCTAAACTTATCCGATGAAACTGCAAAAAAAAAAAAAAAAAAAAACATTAATTTTAGAAATTGCAGATGATTAATTTTCAAGACAACCAAAAGAGATGTATTTGTTAATTTACAACGTTTGAATCTAAGTATTTGTTTTTGAAATAATGTTTGTCATGGAAAGATATCTCATAAAAAATAATTTTTTTTTCAGAGTCTGAGAACATTAGCTATGATAATATTTGCCTAGCTTCTTAAATATTGAATTGATTCTAAAATTTTGGAATTTTTTTTAAAGCTTTTAGGTTTTATATCTTATTTTGTTCATGGATTTTGAATTTTGTGTGACATATAACTAATTGAAGTATATAAAGCTGTATTTCTTTTCCTTGTGCCTCTCCTGTTATGTCCTATTCATTTTTTCTTGTGAATTTCCACTTCCTCATGATAGTTAGAGAAATATACTTTTCACCACTGCCACAAACTTTGCAAACCTTGACTACATTGTTCATACAGATGCCCAACAGAATGATGTGACCATGTCTATTCCTTCTAGCAACATTACGACTACTTTAAGGACAAGATTTTTGTTTAGGTTGCTCATGCAAACAGCTCTCTAGGAAGAACTTTCCGTATATGAACATGCCGACTTCTTTCAGTTTGCTGTTAATGCCTACATTCTATCATTGTTTCCTTCTTTATTCTTTTCAGCTAGAACATGATGTTTAGAGATTCAAGTGAAGCCAGTTTAAGGTGCAACTGTCATTAGCGTGGACTGATAGATGTTGGGATTTCATGCATTTTCTGTTGAAGTAACAATGTCAAGAAGAAATTCTAATTGCTACTCCTCAAACGATTACTCATCACTATCCTTTTGTGCTCTAATATTCTTAATTTGATTTGTAAGATTGGTAAACAATTATTTGATTCGGTGATAAAATTACTCATTCTAATGTTCCATTGCAAATTCTATATAGAAGTTATTCTTGTCATATTTATTTATTTTTTCAGATGAAATATTATACACTAGATAATAAGGTTTTGAATTTGTGCTTCCACATTTAGTATGTATGGAGATGGACGAGAGTCAAGGTCAATGATACAATTCCAGTTCTCTCTAAAAATGGGTTAGTAATGATTTTTCATATTGGTATATGAGTACCCTATTTGTTTGGATGGCATAGAATTTAGAACTTTGATCTTTATTCAAACTTCTCAAGGAAGAAAATTATGAAAACAAATAAATATTTTTAGTTGTGAAATATTTTGAACTAGTGCTAGAACATAGAAGCATTAAATAGTCATGCCAAAAGCTTTTCTCTTTAAATGAGAGTTACAAGTGCTTGATCAAACCACGAAGGCGTATACTGCTGTTCAATAGAATGAATTTTGAATCCAAAAAATATTTTACAACATGCAATTTCCAAGCTTTCAAATAGGTAGAATAAAAAATTTTAAAGGGTGACTAATATGTAGTTGTATGAATTGTCAACTTCAAACAAAAGATCTATTTGGCAAAGGTCACCTTCACTGCCTAAGTGTACTGCAACCATGAACTTATTCTGGTTTATTTTGTCGAAAATGTTCTCAAAAACAGGAGAAATAAAACTAATAATAGAATTATGTTTGACTGCTTAAAACAAAAATATAATTGCTTAGTAATTTAAACATACTTTTGTTCTACAGACAGTCCGAAAGGTTATGAATGCTGATTGAGAAAGGGAGGATATTTGAGGAACTATGTATTTCTTCTTGAAACATGATAAAAATGAGTGACAATATTGAGGGACCTTGAAAGTGACAGGCATGGCACATATTGGTAAGTTATGGTCCTTTAATTCTCCTTGATGGCAATATGTAAATATTGATAACTCTTGATTATGTTTAACTTTTGCAAACTGATAGTGACGAAGGTGAACTCACATTGTTGTGTTAAAAAAGGAAGCATGGAGGGATAGTTTTGAGGTTGAAGATGTGTTTTGCCTTTTAGGATCTTATTTTAGTGCAAAAGTTAATATTGTCTCACCTTTTTTAAATATAATATGGGATTTTTATCCTAATTTGAAAGTATTAATACATGCATAATATGGTTGAAGATGCATTCGATGTGTGTATTGACGAGTAGGCTA